ACATTTAGGGCCCAATACTAATTATATTTGTGGGCTTTCCTTTGCATTGTAGGATGTTTAGAGGGATCCCTGAACTCCACCCACTAGAGGTCAGTAGCATCACCCACCCAGCCCCATGCATGAAAATAAAAAAATGTTTCCAGATATTACCCATTGTTAGTTGGGTGGCAAATTTGCCCCTGGTTGAAAACCACTTTGTCACAGAGACATAGCCCATTTAATGGCCAAGAAAAAAATGTGAATAAATCCTCAACAATAATACACAGTTGAACTCTCTGAGTCAAAAATCCTCTGGTTAGAGGTTGAGACAGGTAATTACATGGACATTTCTGCTTCTGGAAGCCTGTGAGAGGTCTCCTCTCTTGCCAGGTTCCCCCATTACCCAATTACCATAAGCCAAAGCAAACAAGGTCATGAGAATTTCAGGATTCGAACACTACACCCATGCCATCCAACAAGACTGTGGTGAGCATGTTCCCTCTGGCCAGGCTAGTCTAAGGCTCTTTGTTGGTGAAAGAGAAAAGGGCGCAGCCATTCAAGGAAAGAAGAAGCAAGGTATAGTGAAAAGGGCACCAAACTGAATACTAAGACTCCCAATTCCTCGCTGGGTGACTTTGCACAAGGTACTTAACCTCTCTAAGCCTCAGTTCCTCATGTGAAGAGAAGGTTCCTAGGACCTCTCTCACATATCGAAATCTGCATCAAGGCTCCCATACCAAGTAACCACTCAGTGCCTTCATTTCCTCCATCTCATTTACATCTCCCACTAAACCTTAAGGATGTAATAGCCAGGCCCCTGGCTTTGAGCAGAAAACCAAAGACCTTCAGATATTGTGTTCAGTTGAGGAAGGCTAGGAGATGGTGCCAGTCAGGAGTAAGAGTTTTCCCTCCTGGGTCCTTGGAAAAAAGTCAGAGTAGAGCATTTTTTAATGGGGAAAAAAAAAAAAAAAGGTAACCTAACCCTGAGGTGGAACTCATTAGTTAGAAGCATACTCTCAAAAGAATGCATTGCCATCTGCTGGCTCCTATCACTAGGGAGCAGGGGTATGCTCTCCGGGGGCATGAGGAGCCCAGATCTCCCAGCCTGCAAAGCTCCTACCAAGTCATGAACAAATGCCTGAAAAACCATCAGCCCACTCAGTCCTTTATACCTTAATTGTGACTGAATTTATCAGGTCCTTTCCTGAGTAAAAGTTTGATCACGGAAGAACAAAGCGGAGGGTGGTTATTTAATGTGATCATTTGTGTGCGATTATGTATGTGAATATATATACATGGGTGTGGATATATAGCAATATTTATCTACATGTGTGTCGTTACATCTATGTTATGGGTGTGTGTGTGTATCCCTAAACTTCTGTCAAAATATATTTCAGGAGCCTGTTTAATAGTCATATTCATGTTATTTGACATTTTCATCAATGGCAAACCCAAGTCCACCAGCATAACCATCTATCTAGAGGAGACAAGTGGTGCTTATTTTCACTACCCCGAGTCATTGTCCAAAACAGGTAGAAAGTCTGGTCTTTCAGTAACGTCCTCGGGGAGAGGGGTATCTGATGCCTTTCGTTTTACCAAGATAGGTGATCCACCAGTGCCCTCTTCTACGAGGCAGATAGAATGGGCACGAAACTTGCTGACAATTGATTAATAGAACCCAGAAACACAGGTGGCCCAGAAGCCCTCCAGTCATCTGTGTGCAGTTGCTCAGGAAACTTGAGAGGAATAACAAGTGGTGTTTGCCCCTCTAATCACTTACACTTACACATTAATGTGTTGTTGATGCTAAGTCTTACCAAATGTCTGCCTTCCTAAATGCCGGGAGGAAAGGTAAGTCCCTCACACTTGGAGGTGCTTGGAAGAATATAAAAAAATGGACTTAAAAAAGTTTCCTTTTCCTGGAATAACCTTTTCTTTGCGGTGGCAGCTTTCCAGTCCTCGGCCTGGTATGGGTGTGAGACTGATGGTGTCAAAAGGATCACAGCTGAAGTCTGAGTGTCAGGGGGTCTTTTCTCTGAGTGAGGCCACAGGATGGGTCTCATTTAACCTGCTCCCTCTGACACAATCTAAAACAGTACCAGGGCTAAGACTGGGGTGAGAGTTTCATTTGTCATTTGAAAAGTCTTTTTTTCTATATAATTATTCAAAAAATCTCTATGCTATGGCTGAATTTAAATAAGCTAGGAAGGTACTGCAGATGGAGGGTTAATTCATCATGATTCCCCAGGAGATATGTGAACTGTGGCCTTCAATTCTTTTCAGGTGGCACAGATAATGAGATTAGCACCCTCTGTGGGAAGGACCAGAAAAGGGGCGCTACACCTTTAAAAATTAGATTGTCTTTTAAATGCTCAGTAGTTTGCTTCGAGGGGTCAGAGCAAGTTTCTTGAAGCTTAAAGATTAATTAATTTAAGAATGAAAAGATTTCAAGTGTCACCAAACCTTAGTTAAAATCACCGATTTCCCTTATTCTTGCCATTTTCTGAATCAAGAGGCACGGGGGCATGAAATAATGGGAGCTAAGTACCTCTGTTTGTGTAGGAAACAGATTGGCTCGCCTGCAAAGACACACAACACAGAGACATACAGGGGCACACAGGCAGAGTAAGAGCACAGCTTTCTGTGGCCATCACCCCTTCTCCAGGTCTTAGGTTGCAGATTCCTCTTTCTAGTGGTCATTCATTAGATTTACATGGCTTTAAGATTTATACATATGTGGTAACCTGGTCATATGGGGAGGGGGTGGTAAGAGCAGTGGAAAACAAAGCATGAGTAGTCTCTCACTCTTTTCTCATGGCCACATTGAAAAAAGAAGAAAGAAAAAAAAGTCTTGGGGATAGAAGATAAAATTCTGCAGTTTACAATATCCCTGTTTCTAGTGAGTAGGGGGACCGGTGGTTCTGACATTTGCCAGAAGGGCTCTGCTTCTAGGGGCTTTCCCTGGAAGCACTCCAGCACAGCCCCGCATGCACCAAGGCAGAGCAGCTCTTGGCACTGGATCCCAGTAGCTTTCCTATGAGGAAGTTAAATCAATGGGAGCCAGATTTCTTTCAATTGCCACAATTTGGGGATTTTTTTTTTCTCCAAATGCCATCTTCTGGAGAGGCCTCTATAGTGGGGTTTCATTTTAGATGTGAGACACATCCCCAAAAGGTCCTTGTCCCTGCTGTCCCTGCCCTCCCAGTGACATGCTCTTTAAAACAGCAGCCCCAAATGATTGCGCTTAGACCAAATCTGGAGCCCCCTCCTCAACGTTCTCAGACAAAGCACCTCTCTTCTAGAACATTAGCAGTCTAAATGGGTGTTAGGTTCATGGCCTGTGTCATAAAGTCATGTTTTAATTATAAGCAAAGCAAGATGAAGTTTCCTAAGCTGGTGTGTGTATGGGGTGAGGGTTGGCTGTCTCTCAAGGCTTAACAAGTTAAGAGATATTTGCAAAATATTTCTCTTGAAAGGGGCTCTTAGAAACAGTATTGTTAGGCATATGGGTTTCTCCTTAGGTAGAAGGGAAATCTACTGCCAATCCACAGTTTAAGTAAATCTCCTGGTGATGCCAACTCTGCATTTCAAACAGCTGATTGTGCCTCTTTAGGTAGGTGGCTGGAGGCATCTGCATCTGGGGAAATGGTGGTGTAGGTTTTTTCCAGCCCTCCTCTTGCTATTTGGACTTCTCTCTTAAAAAGGGGAAAGAAATCAGAAAAATGCCAGTCTAGGATCACTCAGAGGGGTGAGCCAGCTGAGCCTGGGAAAGACATCTGGACATGGACAACATTGGTTCCGTGTTCACCATCTGCCATCCACGACAGTTTATTTCAATCATACATTGGCTTAAATTGTTAGCAGTGAAAGACCCCTCCCATCCAACACACAGGCTCCTCCTCTTCCTCCACCCCCTCCTTCCCCCCACCCACCAAGTGGTACTACTCTTCAATAAACAACCTAAATCTCAACCGTGGACCCGGAAACCTATGAGGGGTGGGAAGGGGCGGTCATTGGTCCCAACACAGAAAAAAGTACAGCAACACAGGGGAAGCAAGCATTACACAAAAAGCAATCTGAGAGGAGGCAGCTCTTGTCCTGGATTAACAAATTAACCCCATCTCCGTAAGGTTTTTCAAACACAGGATCAAAAGACGATCTTCCACCACCACCCCCAGCCCCCACCCAGCACGTATCACTTCTGCATGGGTCTGCCCCTGAAGCCTCCTGCTACCAGCGTTACCCAGTAGGCATTCATCCTGAGGCAGGATTTTTTTTCTGACTGGTCCCCGCTGTAACTAGGAGGGTGCTGTCACTGATGAGAGCCTGAGCTGGCTGCAATCTTAGCTGTGCTCCAGAAAGCGCAGCTTTCATCCCCAAACATTTGAATTCTGTCTTATTTCCTTCAGTCAGACCATAGAGATCAGGAGCCGAGGGGCTCTCTTTCAGAGAAGAGTAGGGTAAAGGGAGCAAATGCTACAAGGTCTGGTGACTCAAAGGCATAGGAGAATTATGAACCAGTGGCATTTGCGGGGTGAGATGTCGAACTGATTTGAAAGATGGTTATATTAAGTGCAAAAAAAAAAAAATGTTTCTTGTTAATAGAATAAACTGTCTGGCACTGCCTTTTAAAAGCTATTTCCAGTGATCTCTGCCTTAAAGGCTGAGCGGTGAGGCTGAGTCCTCAGTTCACCTTTCTCTTGCTTTAAAGTGGGTTGGATTGCACCCCCTAAATATAATATGAAAGGGTCTTGCTTATTTCTTTATTTTATTTTTAGTCTTTAGTCATGTGGAGAAAAATCAACCCAATAAGCTCTGTTTGTCTTTCTTAATATTTCAAATGGAGTCTGACTGCTTTGCTCCTTGAATTTATGGAACTTCCCTCCGGCCACTAGCCACCCACTCCCTCTGCCCCTCCCCACTCCGCCCGCTTCCCTCCCCGCACACAGAGGGAAGGAAATTTTAACTGTTGCTTCTCTTTTAACCCAGGTAACAATTCATGTAGGTTACTCCAGTCTGTAAAAACTGTAAATGCTATTTTATTTTTAAACATTTTAGTTTACAAAAAAAAAAAAAAAAATCAATGATTGGTACCTTTTTACACTCTCAGATTCCTGAATATGGACAGATCTTCAAAGGGAGGAAGGAGTTTTCTCATATGAAATTTAAGACAGACTGTCCTGAAGGTTGTGGGGTGGGTGTTTGTTGTTGTTGTTGTTGTGTTTTATTTCGTTTTTGTTTTTAAGACACAATAAAGCTAAAATGTCCAGTCTCTGGGAGCGATCCCCGGACGGCCTCAGTCCGGGAGCGTGTCAGCGCGAGCCGAGGGGGCCCAGCCCGGCGCGGGCTGCCCCGCGTATTTGGTAGCGCACCGGGGGAGGGCCGCGGGCGCGGTCACACCTCGCATTCCCTGGCCGGCTGCTGGTGGCAGGTGCACGCGCCGTACTCGTTGATGATCACCAGCGCTCCCTCGATGTGGTTGGGTTTGTAATCGACGTAGTATTCCTGGGCAGACAGGGCAGCCATCTGCTGCATGCTCTGTTTCTGCTTCTGCTTCCTGCGCTGCGTGACGAAGCACTGTCTGAGCTGCCGGAGGCTAGCGGGGAAACACTTCCAGGAGACGTAGAGCACCAGGACCACGATGAGGAAGGAAAAAATCAGGGCCATGGTGCCCGTGACCACCTTGTGGATCTGCACGGCGTTCTCGGCGTGCTCGCCGCCGGGGAGAGCCACCGTGGCTGGCTCCGCGGTGCCGTCGAGCGGCCCCTCCCTGCCGTCGGCGAGCGTGGTGGCGGAGCCGGCGGGGGCGCCCAGGTCGCTGTGGTTGGTGATGGCCGAGAGCAGGTGGTCGCTGGTGGGCTCGGCCCCCTCCTCGCAGAGGTGGAAGGCGTACACGGCGTCCAGGACGTCCTCGCCCTGCGCGTACTCGGGGCTGGCGCACTGCAAGTTCCCGTCGTAGCGCCCCTGGAAGCTGCTGAGCCACGAGGCCAGGGCGCACACGTTGCGTCCGCAGTCCCATAGGTTCCCGGCCAGGGTGATGCTGGTCAGTGACTTCCAGGAGTTGAGGATGCGGGGCTCGATGTAGGTGAGGCGGTTGGAGTCCAGCTGCAGGGACTGCAGGTGCGGCACGGTCTCGAACACATGGGGCTCCATGTACTCGATCTCGTTCCCGGACAGGTCCATTTTCTCCAGGTTCCAAACCCAGTCCAGCGAGCTGACCACGATGGCCACTTTATTCCTCCTCAGGCAGAGCGAGTGCAGGGAGATGAGGCGCGGGAAGTGGGCGAAGTTCACCTTGACCAAGTCGTTGTGCTCCAGGTGCAGCTCCGTGAGCTTGAACAAGCCGGCGAACGAGTTGCGCGCCAGGCTCTTGAGCTGATTGTATCCGATGTCAAGAAACTTGAGGCTGCGGCAGTCCTGGAAGATGCGCACGGGCACGAACTGGATGGCGTTGGCCCGCATGTGCAGCGTGGTGAGCTTCCGCAGCCCGTGGAACAGGTCGGGCGCCAGCGCCTGCAGCTTGTTGTAGGACAGGTCCACGCTGCGCAGGTTGGGCATGGGCCGGAAGGTGGTGTTGGCCAGCTGGGTGATCTGGTTGGAACTCAGCGTGAGTTCCTTAACTCGGCGCAGTTTCTGAAAGGCGTCCCCCTGCACCGAGCAGATGTGATTGTGATCCAGATAGAGCCACGTGAGCTGCATTAACCCCGTGAACTGGCCGGCGCGCAGCTCCGAGAGGCTGTTGTAGCGCAGGGACAAGCCCAGCAGGCCGGACAGGTTGTGGGGCGCCTCGGTGAGGTTGAGCGCCTCGCAGTACAGCAGCCGCCCCTCGCACCGGCACAGCTGCGGGCACCCGCTGGGGGCGGCGGGCAGCATCTGAAAGCAGGCCCCCAGCAGGCACAAGACCACCCCCGAGGGCCTCCTCAGCAGCCAGTGTAGACAGAGGCCGAGCAGCAGGAAATCCATTAGCGAGGATCTTTCCAGAGAGGCTGGAGAATGTCCATTGGAAGCGCTCGGTCAGAAATCTACATCATATTTTATTCCGAGGGAGAGAGGGAGCAGGGGAGGGGGGGAAGAAAGGGCAAAAATCGAATAAATATATTGAAATAAAGAAGGACCCCCCCTCCCCAAAGCCACACGTTCACCTCTAAGCATGCAGAAAGCTGGGCGGCATGGAAAGTTCACAGCCACGGAAAGATCAAAGAGATGGTGATTTGGTCCATGTTAGATGCTGCAGCAAAGAAAAGAGGGGGGGAAAAAAAATCTTCGGGAAAGAATTTAATTAAAAAGTGTCTTACCCACCCTTTTCCAGAGAGTGACAACCTCCATTCAGCTGCTCCCTTTGTGTGCAGGCTAATTATATGCAGGGCGAGAGAAGACCCCTCTGTGCTTCCGAGGCAGCCCCGCTCCGCGGCCGGCGGATCTGGCAGGCGCACAATGTCTCACTTTGCTGCTCGGCGCGGGGCTGCAAGGGCGGCTGGCGAGGCGGGGAGGCGACTTCTAGGACCCGCAAGTTTCCCAACTACGTGCCGGAGCCGGGCTTCGCCTTCCTGCCGCTGTCCTTTCCCTCTGCAGTTCGGACTGTGACGTGGTGGGGAAAAAAAAAAAAAAACCAACACACACACACACACAAAATCCACTCCAAACTCGGGGCTCGCGACTCCCCAGGATTTGACAGTCTGGTTAAGGTCCGTCATCGGAAAGGACCACTGACCGGCGCCACCTTTGAGTCCGCGGAGACAGCCAGCCATTCGCGCCCGGGGCGGCTGCGGAGAGCGCGCTCGCTCATGCTTTGCGGG